GGAGAAATATTGGCAATCTTCTGCCTTGTGATTTACTGCCTCTCAAAACCCACTAGAGGATCAACTATGGGTCAGTTCTGACTCAGTGATATGCAAGAACAACCCCTTGTGTTGCTCTGTTTTTCATAAGGTGTGCTGTGTAAATTTTAAAGTTCTAAATGGCTTTCCTAGACATTGAATTTGACTTTGATATGGGGATGGTCAGGAATATGTGGATAGGGCATGTTTGCCTATCCACAAAGAGATTGGCTAGGTTCATCAATCCACAAGGGGATTGGCTTATATCCCTATTAAATTTAGTAAATCCAACAGTAGAAGAGGAAAATCTTTTATGCCAGCAAAGAAGCAAGAGAAAGTAGTCATTCTGGCCCAAAAACTCTGTGCCTGCTAGACCTTTGGCAGCAGCTGCTATGGCTGAAACAGAGAAGCAGAGAGCCAACATGAGATGAAGCAGAGTGCTACCCACCCATCCACCTACAGACAGAACCAGAAAAGAGCCTTTGCACATGTTTGTTGGATAAATGGGGCCAGGAAAGTGTTTGGGAAAGTCTGTATTGGCAGCACTGAGAACTTTGTAACATTGGTTTAAAGCCTCAAGGATCAAGGCTGAGACACCTGCAAGCATATTTCAGAAGCTGTCCTGACTATATTCTGTAACTCACCTGATTATAAACATTTTGTTGTTGTTTCAAGGACTTCTTGTTTTTATTATAATTCCAATCTATTTTTTTAAATTTTACACTATTTTATTTACAAATTTTGAATACATTGTTTTAGAGAACAGATTCTTTCAATTTCCCTCACTCCCCCCCCATCAAATTGTACAGCCTCATGATTAATACCCCTAATGCCCTACACATCCTCATCCCTCTGCTTCCACCCTCTCCCACCCCTCTTTAATTCTGTTCCATTGGTCTGTGTGCCTGTCTTTGTACCAACACCATGCTGTTTTGGTTACTAGTGCTCTGTGGTAGGTTTTGATTCAGGGAGAGCTATGCACCCCACTTAATATTTGTTCAGTAATGTTTTGCTTATTCTAGATGTCTTTCCTCTCTAAATAAACTTGACAATTTCCCTTTTTATCTCCTTGAAAATGAATTTAGTATCTGGATTGGGATTACATTGGACATGTAAATTACTTTTGGTAGGATTGTCATTTTCACAATATTGAGTCTTCCTATCCATGAACAGGGAATATTTTCCCATTTATTTAGGTTTTTTATTGTGTCTCACAGAAATGTTCTCTGGTTTTCTTTGTATAGGTTTTTATGTGTGTCTAGTTAGGTTCACTGTCAAGTATCTTAATTTGTGTTTGGCTCTTGTAAATGGTATTGCTTTCTTGATTTCCTTCTCTGTGTTTTCTTTGTTATGATAGAGGAATCTCACTCATTTCCCAGCTTCCTGATGCATAGCAACTAAATTGCAAAGACCTGGCCCGAATCAGGTGCACCTTAGACTTTGTTGCTCTGCAGAGGTCCCTAAGAGTAGATTTTTTTCCAATGCAGTTTACAAAGATATTGTTTTTAGTTTACAATTTTAGAGTGTATCTTTTTCTTAATAACTTCTTTATTATGTTTTCTCATTCCAAGTTGAAAACCCCATTGGGAGTAGCAGTATGCTCTCTCTAAATGGTATTTGGTATCAGGCTGGTTCTTTTTGTTCTTTTTTCTTTTCCTTACTACCTTTGGTTCACAGCATGGAGAGTGCTTCACACTCATTTTGACATGATCTTCGAGTTTTTGAAGCCATATATCTAGGTGAAAACCAGGAATTTTTCCAAGAATGACTTTCATATATTTTTTTACTTCCTGAACTCTTCTGGAAGTGAGAATAAATGCTTACAAGGTGGTTGTCTTATTGACAAAGATAGTCTTTGGTTATTAAATATGTTCGTGATCTTACAATGTAGACAGGCAGACCTATTTTTCTCCCTCAGTTTGTTCCACTGAAATAGAAATTTGTATAGCTGAGTTAACACATTGTTATGATAAGGATTACTATCCTAACAGGAATCTGAGTTGCTTTCATGTTAGCAGCCACTTTTATTAATTAACGACCTTTTTATAAAGTTGAATCCACATGGCTTGACTTTTATTTCAACTGCTTGTTCCCGTGTTCATATAGTTCTATTTTTCTCCCATGAAGTTTCAGCACTCTTTTCCTTGAGTAGTGAAAGATTTTGGGCCTATTAATAGAACTGAGAAGGATATTTTAGGCTGTTTTATATCTATGTGTGTATCCAAATCTAATTTATGAACTTGCTCTAATTTGTGATCATTACTAATAAATTGGAGTTTTTCCTTTTGCCATTTTATAGCATTTACCCTGAGCTATTTCTTTTAGGAAGATGAGAGTTATATTGTAGTACTTTTACCAACAATTATCTGTCTTATGTAATGTTAAACTATATGAGAGGGCAGAATAAAACAAGACTGGGCAGAGTATGAAGTTGAAAACTCTTTTGTTCATCATTAAATCTATGATCTGATGTTAAATCAATCTCTCTCAGAATTTCAAATTCAGTTTGAGAAAAAAGTCATCTCTTATAGGTATGACTTTGGGAATTTGTTTTTTCACTCTCAAACAAATAGAGATGGAGTAAAGCATACACTTAATTTCTGAATTTGATGTAGAGAGTAGCAGGATACTACATTCTCATTAGGAGGTTATTAAAAATTCAACCTTTAATCACAATGGTAGATTATTTGTTAATGCCTAAGAATTTTTTCATATGGTTTAAAGAAAAAAAGGTGGGAAATGGGAAGGAAAGGGAGGGGAAAAGAAAATGAAAAGTTTAGAGACCTTTCTTTTAGTAGAATCAAGCTGCCTCTATTAGAAAAATCTTTAGCTCCTACCATAGCTTGTATGGTTGTTGTTTGTCATCTATTCATACACTGATCTGGATTCCATCCAGTTCATGAGTGATTGACCATGCCGTGGACAAATGTTAATTATTTTCACCAATACTTTCTAATCATGCAGTGTTCTTCTCATCTCTTACTCAAGAATTACTGCCTTTTTCTAAGCTTATCTAGCTTCTAAAACCTTTTGGATCCATCTTAACCTTACTGTCATTCTGAAAAATTCAAGGAGGATTTAGAAGCTGAAGAAATAAATAAAAGGAAAATGCTCAAGAAATAGCTACTGATATGGGAAACGAAAAATATTTGGAATTAGTATTTGAAATATGATTTTTAAAAGAAGCTATCAGAATTTTGACACTGGAATGTTAAAGTTTAATGGGCGTATGCTTTTCTCCAGCAAGTTAATATTTAAATCTGCATTCTTTTTCGGAAACATGTACTATTTGTTGAGATTTGAAGCTCGGAAGATTTAATGATGTAGTCAAACCCTAGTTTCAGATTCATCTGCATAACCATAAGTCATTAAGAAAAATTTGATAATTATCACAATATTCTAAAGTTTGAATTTATATAATATTTTTCACTCTTTATAAAAATTAATGCAAATGAGTCCCTATATCCTAGAATATTAATTAGAAAAACAGTAGGGAAACTATTAGTATTTAAATAAGTATTCTCATTAATAATAATATATATGTGTTTTTATAGATGAGTTATAGTGGTTTATTGCTGTGGGACAGTGAGCATCATGGCTTTATTATCTCTTTTTACCCTAAATAGGTAGTTTATGTAAGTTGTCATGTTAAATTAATTTTAAAATTCTAAATTAGCACAGATGGTTTGGCTTCTTCTTTCTGAAAGATCTTCTGCTTTTCTTGCATAGAATATAAATTTTGTTTGGGATTAGATAAATTACCTAGATTAAAAGAAACAATTTAAGTTTACATATATCAGAAAGAGAAACTCTTTCTGTCCTTTTTATAAGTCTACAAAATGATAAATGTAGACCAAATATTAATAAAATAATAATTATAGTGCCAAGTGAATTTATGTGACTATTTTAATACATTTAGGAAAATGAAATTGTTTGTTATTTCAAATTGGACACAGTGATTTGGGCATGTGGGCAGAAGGGACCAGTCCTTAGAGAAGGACATCATACTTGGAAGGTTAGAGGGATAGCATAGGAGAGGAAGACCCCAGATGAGATGGATTGATACAGTAACTGGGGCAATGGGGGTTGGGGTATCTGAATCAGTGAGACTGGCTTAGGGCAGGGAAGGCTGTATATAAGGTCTCTATAAATTTCCGGCAACTGGACAGCACATAACACCGACAACATCCTCTGTCATTAAAACAGGGGGTTCTGATAGCCTATAGAGAGCTGTGGTGCTAATGCAAAGGCAGCACTTCTTTGTGGGTTCAAATTGGCTAGCATCTTGTGGGAGAAAGATGGACAGTTTTCTCCTGTGTAATTCACAACCTCTAAAAATTTGGTGAAGGGTCAATTATTGACAACTGTTAACAGCAGTAAATTTTGAGTTATCACTCTATTTTTTAAAAAATATTTTAGGTGGCATAATTTTCTTTTAAATAAACTGGCATTTTTTATTTGCAAAACATCTAGCTTAACTATTTTGGAAAACATTTTATGATATAATAATCTGTTTAAAAATATATTTGCATTGTTGTTGTTATGTGCCATCGAGTCGCTTGCGACTCATAGCGACCCTATGAACAACAGCTCTAAACTGCTCTGTCCTGTGCCAATCTCATTGTCTCTGACAAACATCCTGATTGCCCAGTCACCAAATCAATCCACCTCCCAGAGGGCCTTCCCCTCCTGCACCTGCCCTCCAACCTCCCAAGCATGATGTCCTTCTCCAAGGACCGGTTCCTCCTTACAACCTGTCCGAAGTATGTCAGACGAAGCCTCAGAATCCTTGCCTCCAAGGAGCAGCCCGGTTTAACCCTCTCTAGGATGAATCTGTTTGTTTTCTTAGCAGTCCATGATACCCTCAACACTCTTTTCCAACACCAAATTTCAAAAGCATCAATTCTCCTTCTAACCCTCCTTGTCATTGTCCCCATATATTTTAAAAATATGTAATGTACATATGTTTTGTATCTTAACAGATTCCTCCTGCATGGAAAAACTACTTTCGAAAGATTGGAAGGAAAAAATGGAAAGATTAAATACGAGTGAACTTCTTGGAGAAATTAAAGGTATAATCTACAAAATATCAAACATGTCAATACAAAGATATTGTTTTTGAATAGTTGAATACCTGCTGGTCTTCTGCACTTTAACACTAAATTCTTACCTCAGCACTTGTTTATATATGGAGGATAAATGTACAGTGTGTTTGAAATTTTACTCTTTCTAATATGCATGTACATAATGAAAATCCACCATTTCTCTATTAGTCTTTAAACATATCATTTATAGGATAAACTGCTTTATTAGTTTACTAAGTAGAATTATGCAGAAGAATAAGATATTCTGTCAAAACATGGATAGCAATGTGGTCTTAGTTCTTTATCTTCAAAATAATGATAATAATTTAGAAATTCATTAATTTTTATTTCTTCTGACCAAAAAAGGTGAACTGTAGCACCCAATTAAAAATAATTCATAAGATATGATATTATGCTGTATATAAGGACTCATGGGAGCACTCTAAATCTTCTTTCTTGTTGTTATGGTTGATTGCTGTTGAGTCAACCATGACTCATATTGACCCTATGAACAAAAGACCTGAAGCCTTTCTATAACTATCGTCTTTTCTCAAAGTTCATAGAGTTTCCAGAGGCATGTTGTTTAAGGGAGTGGATGCCACTGTAAACTCTTACACTTTCTTAGATGAGTAAGTTTGAGCTAGTCACTTAACTTTTCTATAACTTCAAATTCCTAACCTTTAAATTGATGATTATAACAGTATCTATCTCTTCTTTTTAAATTTTTTAAAATGTATTATTAATTTCAATGAAAATTTACAGAGACTTTGGATTTCCATTCATTCACTGTTGCACTTTTCTCCCCTCTCAACCCTCCCCATTAGTATACTACCCTCTTGGAAAAGTAAAAGAAAAATTCTTTCAATGTTTTACAATCCCTTCTCCCAGGTCCACTTCACTATACAGAATTCACTCTGGTCTCCAGTCATGACAAAAGTGCCATATAACATATCCCTCTTAAACAGTTTTATCCCTCCCTCATCTGTTTCAATGTAGTATACATTATTGAACCCATCTTTCTCAGTATCCCCCCCAACCTGGAGGTCAGTCCTGTTTTACAACAATGGCACCATGCAGTGCAATGCCACCTTCTGTGACTGAGATACTTCACTCAGCATAATGTCCTCCAGGGTCACCCATTTTGAATAATATTGCATGAGTTCCTTGTTTTTCAGTGCAGCATAGTATTCCATTCATTTGTTGATGGGCACTTAGGTTATTTCCAACTCCTTGCTATTGTGAACAAAGCCACAATAAACATGGATGTGCTTATATCTGCTTGGATGCCAGTTATGTCTCTTTGGGGTATATTCCCAGTCATGGAATTCCTGGGTCAAATGGTTCTCTGTTTGCAACATTTTTGAGAAAGTGCCATACCGCCTTCCACAGTGGTTGCACCATTTTACACTCCCACCAACAGTGAATAAGGGAAACAAACAAGCAAACAAAAAACCAACTAAACAAAAAACAAAACAAAACCAAAAACCCCACAACAGTATCTATCTCATATTTTCAGTAAGGAGTTAATACATATCAAGCTTTTAGAAGTATTACCTGTAACTCAAGAAAACACTGGAACATAAGCTTTGGTTTTTGTAATGGTTAGTAATGTTACTTTAGGAAGACAGGTTGATCAATCTCAAACAGAATCATGTACTTTAATATTCCACAATCTTCGACTTTGATGAGTGTTGGCATTTTTGAAGATGTATTTAGTATTTCTACTTGGAAACATGTTTTTAAAATGCATTCTCCATCCATTCTAGTTTTAAGTTACTTTGTCAGTCAGGAAGCGAGACTTCTTACCTCACCATGCTCTCTCTTGCTGATTCCTTTATGAAGATAATAATTCTTTTATTCCTAGTTGTTTGTAGCATGAATGAAATCCAGTATAACTTACACTAGCCATTTCAGAACTTAATTATGTTCAGTTTTAGGTGATTCTTAATATTTTATTATGGATCTAGTTGTAGGGATTGTGCTACCAGTTTAAAGGCACATGGTTCAAATCCATTAACTGCTTCATGGGAGAAGGATGGGTAATCCTTCTGTGAGATTTACAGCCTCTGAAAACCCACTTGAGGGGTCAACTGTCAGTCAGTTCTGACTTGGAAGCACACAACAATATTTAATTTAAAATTAAAATTTTGCAGTTATCTGATGAAAAGAGACCCTGGTGACACAATAGTGAAAGTACTCAGATGCTAACTAAAAGACTGGTCAGTGCTTTAAACCTAGAAAGATGTTGCAGGCTACTTCCCTAAAGATTTACTTTTGGAAACCCTAATGGGGCAGTTCTGTTTTGTCCAGTAGGTTTACTATGAGTCAGACTCATAGACTCAGCACTGTGGCAAAGAATTTGGTTTATCAGAGAAAAATCCTATTTTGAATTTATTCAAAAGTTTCCTGGTATTCAGGGGTGTTATGTTTAACTCAAACTAAGAGAAAAATAAGTCATCTCTTTTCCAGTGAATAATTAATGACTTATTCTGTTAACTAATATAGTGTCAAAATCAAGTGGAAATTGGATATTATTTTGAATTTAACTGCTTCTGGTTTGTGCTCATAAAGGCCATTTGCTATTTTGGAGAAAAGAAGCAACTTATAACTGACGGGTAGAAAGAAAGTCATTAGTGACATATTCTCTATCCAGCTGCAATAACGTGGTGTGTGCTACTGTGCACGTCATTCTGTGTTTTCTTCCCTTTCCAAAGTCATTGGTTTTATAATGGTGGGAACAGAAGTGGCTTATGCAAAGACAAGTTTTTGCCAGCGTGAATGATGGGGGCTTTGCTTTTCTTAAAATGTAGAGCTAACATTTTATTATGCTATGATTCAACATCAACTTTTTAAAGTTTTGAGTATCTTTTCCATCTTATGTTTATTTAATACTCATTATGAGTTAAAATCTGAAAATATGTTGGTCTGAGATACTAAAACTATATAAATTTCAAAATTGGAGTGTTTGAAAGACTAGGCTTTTCAAGTTCTTTTCTTTTTCCACTGTATACTTTTATGTGCTTGCTTATATTTTATCTGCTATTCTGAATTTTCTGAATATGGAAATAATGTTTTTCCTAAGTTTTCATTTTTTACTTAATTATCTATTCTTATCTCCTAAGATACATTCTAAATAAAATATAATGATAATGTTTTATAATATTAAAATCCCAGTGTTCAATAATTAAATTCGACATATCATGCTAAGTAAAACTCATTTTCACCCTAAATGAGACCAGCTCATCCAGTCAGTTCTAATTTCTAGTGACCCTATGAACAACTTCTCTGAATTTTCCCTTATTCTGTACCAGCCTCATAATTTCTGATATATTCGAGCCCATTGATACCGTCACTGTGATGATCCGTCTTTGTGAGGGTCTTCCTTTCTTTTGCTGACCCTTCACCTTTCCAAGGATGGTATCTTTCCAAGGGTTGGAAACAACATACCCAAAGTAAATGATATGGAATTTCACCATCCTTGCCTCTAAAGAGCACCTTGTTTGCATTTTCATCAAGACATATTTGTTTGTTCTTTTGTCAGTCCATGGGCTAGTTAGTACTCTTCTCTGCAGGTCAAAGACATTCATTCTTATTCATTGTCCCACTTCCAGATGCACAACAAGTAATTGAAAAGATTATGGCTTGGATTAAGTGTACTGTAGCTTTAAACTGACATTGTTCTTTAACACTTTGGAGACGTCCTCCATTTTCCCAAAGCAACTAATCTTTTCTGGACTGTTGATTGTGGATCCTAGCAAGAAAAAATTGTGGGCAAGTTTGATCTTTTCTCTACCTATCATCATAGATACCTTTTGGCCAATTGACGGTATAGTGCCATTTTTGTTTTCTTGGTATTGAGGTGCTATTCATTTTAAAGGTTGTACCACTTTTGTCTTCTGCAGTAAGAGCTTCAAGACCCCTTTGCTTTTAGCAAGCAAGGTTATGTTATCTGTGTAAGACGCATTGTTGATGACTCTTCCTCTAATCCTGATTTCCACATTCTTTTTCTTAAAGTCCAGCTTCTTGAATAATCTCCTAACCAAACTCATTGCCAGGCATGGAGAAAGGGTCCAAGTCTGAAGCATATCTTCCTTGCAGTGTTCCTTTGCTTGTTTGAACAACACTTTCTTGGTCTAGATAGAGGTTTTACATGAAAACAATTAAGTCTTCTGGGATTCTTCTTAATATTCACTGTTTGTTAAGATCCACACACTCTTAAGTATTTGTATAGTCAATAAAACACAAATTGACATGCCATCCTTATCGTATTTTCTACTTTCAGCCAAGGTCCATCTGACAATAGCAATGATATCCCTGGTGCCATAACCTCTTATAATCTTGCTTGAACTTCTGACAATTCTCAGTCAATATGTTGTTTTAACATTTTTTGGATAGTTATCAGCAAGATTTCACATGCTGGTATTAGGGATATTGTTCATTAATTTCCAGATTTGCTACCTAAATTAGTCTTCCTTGTTTTGAAATTGTAATGTGTTTAGTGTGCTTTCATATGTTTAATTTTAAACACTGTCTTCCAAAATACATACTATTTTGAGTTATATACATTTAACATCATAAGCATTCTGTATTTTAACTGTTTTCTCTGATAAAAAAAACTTATTTTTAGAAATAATTAAAAACATAACCAAAATCAATTTGTCTTTTAATTCTAACTGTATTTTATTGTTGAGTCTTTTAATTTTCAAAGTGACTATATTATGGCATAAATGTAGTTGTGCTATTGACTACAGGTTTTGTGGGAGAGAAAAGATGAAGAATTTCCTTTTATTGATATATTTTTTGTTTTTGTTGTTATGTACCATCCAGTTGTAACCAACTCATAGTTGACACTCCAGTGGGTTTTCAGCGGCTGAAATCTCACAAGAGATGATTTCCTATCTTTTTTGTGGAGTTGCTGGTTGTTGTAAAACACATGCCTTTGGGTTTGGTAGTGCAACTTTGGAACTCAGATGTAAGGTCCTTACGGA